CTTCTTAAACGGTGGGTCCACCGCGGGTCCCCCGGCTAGAACTACTACTACTACTACTACTACTACTACTACTACTACTACACTACTACTACTACTACTACTACTACTACTACTACTACTAATATGTGTGCTAATGAGTGTTTTTCGCTATTTAGATGAACTTATTGACTAAATTTGTTCATGAATATTCATTTGTGTATGTATGCGTATATTAAAATTATGTCGGCCTGGACTGATCCGCTTTCCTGCGTTCCGCACACTCTCGGCGAGCGCTGGTCGAGAACCTGCGCAGTGCCAGCATTGCAGATTACGGCGGACCTAACCCGGACCTACTATACCTGGTGGGAGTGGCAACCCAATAAAGTCTGAAACCTGCACCACTTCAGTCCATAAATCCGTGCTGCAAATGCCCTGCTGAATCCTATTCCTAAAGTTCCTGAAGCTCGCACCAGCCATCGTGACAGTGGAAAGGCCCTCAAACGCAGATCGTTGCTCCGGACTTTGACCCAAAACCCTGAAACCTGACACGAGTTCAACCCTAAACAACACCCAGCCAAAGCATGACAAAAGTTTAAAGAACTCGAACTCTTTACGGCGGCGTTGGGTAGGATTACATCATGTTCGGGGACAGGGATAGAAACCAGCATTGCAATGCAAATGAAACATCATGGTGGGAATAGACACTCATCTGGATGCAGTAGTCCTCCAGAGGGTTTTGGTGGTAATGCTCCATGTTGGGGCGTCTGCATTGGGGAGGACTAGATTCTCATCCAACCGGGTGCTATGCGTCTATTTGCGAGGACTACAAACACTTATCCGGGGGCCGAGAATGCACAGAATCCACGACCAGATGAGACCTCTATATATATATATATATATTCTGCTTTCAGGTGAAGCAACGTATGTAACGTAAATTCTGCTTCGACTTCAGAGCCAGGAAGGATGCCGTTCCGCTACAACTTGGTGGCCATTCAAGCTCCTGTTATGTCGGAATCTCAACGTTTGAATCGTCCAGCCCTGGCCACCGACGACCAAAAGATCTGACTGTCGCTTGCCAGTTGCTCTAAGGGCCGAGCCCAAAAAAGCCCC